AAGTGTTGGGTGGAGCCTTTCAGGAGTTGCTATTATTAAATTAGTAGGGATCTTGATAAATTTCATTAATGAAATTTGTTTTATAAATATTTTATATTATTGCCTTTTAAAATTTTTAGAGCAGAATCATATGAATGGATTAATGCTATTATAAAAAGGCTTAATGGGGGGAGTTCCTTCCTGTTTTACCCTCCCACCTTGAGCAATGTGAGGACACAGCATTCCTACCCCCCTGGAGGACCCAGCGTTCAAGGTGCCTTCTAGGAAACAGAACAGTCCTCACTAGATGCTGGCACCTGGATCTTGGACCTCTCAGCCTCCAGAACTGTGAGAAATACATTTCTATTCTTTACAAATTATTTAATCTGTGGTATCCTATTATCAAAGCACAAATAGGCTAAGACAAACACCAAAATATTTTGAAAATATGACAATTGGAGTCCACCGTTGAGTGTTAGTTTTTAAGTCAACAAAGTAAAGGGAAGAGCGAGTGAACACAGTTCCTAGCAGGGTCTTGCTCCTCTTGAAGTCTGCTCTTACTGACAGCAATCTAGCTAGATCCGCATATGGTATTCCCTTGCTTACATCTTTTTCTTGGCTATTTATCACACTTAGAACATAAATTTTAAACATTTTTTTTTTTTTCAACCAGGACCTGTCCAGGCTCTTCAAATTCTCTCCACCTCCTCCTGAACGCTTTGAGTACTAACCTGCTTGGGGTTACCCATTCATCCAGGTCTTTCCTGTCCCTGTGTCTCCGTGTATACTGCCCCATCCATCAGCCCTCTTTAAGGGGGACTAATTTCTAGCTGTGCTTTAAGTTTCAGCTCCTGGGTCATCTCTCTGGGAAGATCTAGGAAACCCACTCCAGACCATCAGGCTGGACTAAATGCTCCCCAGCCTCTGTAGCGCCACTGGACCTTACACACATCTCTAGATTCACTTTCCATAAGAGCCTGAAGGGATCTGTCTGTCCTGGTCCTTCTATCTTGGTCCTACAATCTGTCGCTAGATTATAAGCTCTTCAAGGGCATTAACCATAGTTATTGATCATTGTATTTCCAGCAATTATTTGTTTAATCCCACTTTGAGTATCACACCCACCAGGCTTTGCTGACCCCTTGGCCATACAGAAGATAGGAAACATTGATTAGTTAGGAGTGAATACAAGAGAGGGTCTAAATACCACACTTCATTTTGTATTTTTCTTTTTTTTTTCTGGTGGAAAGGGTACATTGAAATGGTAAAGTTTGGAGATAACCTATGATTTTCATTTTAAAATCAGACTAATGCAATGCTTTCTGAAGCAGTAAGGGAAATGTGAGCACCAAAGTATGTGCAGATGCATTCTGGGTAAATAGGGCTGCTGGCTAGTCAAAGCGCAGATCAGATATGAAGGCACACATTTTTTGTTTAATTACAATAGATAGTTCATTAAAAACATATAGCATTGGGTCAACATCATACAATATAAAGAAAAAGTTGAGAAAGCTAGAATTTCTTTGTTTTCTTTGTTCATCTGTCTGAATGAGTCATTCAACAAATATTTACTGAGTGCCTGTTCTGAGTCCTGACTGTTCTAGGAGCTGGAGATACACCTGTGACCAAGACAGATGACATCTCTGATTTTATGGATCTTTAGTGTATTGTGAGATACAAACACTCAATGATAATATGATGTAATTAGAAATATATAATGGTAAAACTAGAAGATTTAAAAATGTTAAGATGGAAAAAATCATACAAAACTTGAATAATTTATACATGAGAATTGAAAGACTTAAAATTACAATTCTATTTAATATTTTTATTATTTAATTTATATGTATTATATGTATTCATGTTGTATATTCATAATTCAAATATGATTATGATGACTGGAAACACACACTAGTTCATATATTAAATATATATTTTGCTAATTGAATTAAAATAATTGATTATAGTGTAATTTATTTAACAAGTATCTAAAATACTTAGTGGTACATAGCTCAACATCAGAAAATATCATTTTAGTTATCTTATCTAAACTTGATTTAGCCAGGCAAGGTGGCTTACGCTTATAATCCTAGCTCTCTGAGAGGCCAAGGTGGGTGGATCACTTGAGCTCAGGAGTGTGAGACCAGCCTGAGCAAGAGTGAGACTCTCATCTCTCCTAAAAATAGAAAAACTAGCCAGGCATAGTGGCCCATGCCTATAGTCCTAGCTGCTTGGGAGGCTAAGGCAAGGGGATCACTGGAGCCTAAGAGTTTGAGGTTGCTGTGAGCTGTGACACCACGGCACTCTACCCAGGGTGATAGAGTGACACTATAACTCAAAAAAAAAAAAAAAAAAAAAAAAAGAAATCCAAAACAAACTTGACTTTTGTGATGCATTTTGAGTGGTTCCAAATATCTTGCTGAGTTTGTGGTGATTATACATTGAAGCTGGTGCTACAATTCAGAATTTTACCACATAATGAATTAGCATTAGGGTTTGGCAACATGGCAACTTATTATTAGGAAAAAAAAACTCCAAAGAGAGGAAGAGTGCTAAAAGAATGGGGACCTAAGACCCCATTCTTGGCAAAGAAAAGCACCTTCAGAAAAAGAGGAAAACTAAAAATGTAAGCTGAGTGAGTCAGAACAAAGAACAGTCAGCTAGTTTACATTTAAGTTAGCCATTGCTAGCAAGCTTCTTGCCTTTTCTGAAATTCTAGCCTGTTGGGGTCTAGCTTATAAACACCCTGCTGGGTCTGTGAGCACTCTTAGGAGAGTAATGGCCATAGAAGGGATTGTGGCAAGTCCTAGAAAAGATACATCTTCTAGGGCATTTCTTGTCCATTAAACAGGCAAAGCAGATACCATTGTGGAGATTTGCATTTACCTGGGGCAGAGACCAAGGCAGTAGCTTGTGCCCTGAGATATGGACAAAAAGAGTTTATATCCCTTATCGGTTGTGATGGGAGGAAAATGCCTCCCTCCCACACATCCCTCAGAGAAGATTAATGCCTGTGGTGTTTTATTCCACAGAGAATTAGCAGAGTTTAACACCTCCCTAGAAATCTGTGTGTGTGACCTGAAGCAGGAGGCTCTCCCAATACAAGGTTCACATTTCAGATTATTGAAGGCTACCCTTAAGGTTAATAAAATAACAATAGGAGCTGATATGATCAATCTGAGAAACTGATGACGTCTTTGTTCCCACCCTCATCTTACCCTCTGGGCAAGTAGACTTAAATAAAATCAGAGTGGAGCAAACACTCTGGGCCATTGACAGAATTCCATGATGGGCAATGGACCCGAGTTCCCACTTTTAATTCTACTCTGTGTCTTTCTTTACTGCCGCTCTTAACTTTATATTTCTTCAGTTGATCACCACCAATCTCCACAGGTCTCAGTGACTGCTGCTCTTGGGGTGGGACCATGACAGAAGAGAAGCCAAACCCAGTCACTAATTAGATTGAACAATGGTTCTGCAGCTGAATTTAACTGTCAACTAAAGATTAAATTTAATGAAACTGCTTTTTTAACCTATGTATCCCTCAGGCCACTGAAGTGCAATTTTCACTGAGCAGAAATACATTAAATGCTTTTTTAGAGTTAGCAACTAACTTTTATCTTAAAGAAAAGAAATGAAATCAGGACTTTTTTTTCCTGCGATAAAATCTCTCTTGTCTGACTTCTAACTTACAGTATCTATTTCCTCTATCTAGGTGATTATTTTTTTCTTACACAGAACAAACTGAAAGAAAATGAAGCAATGAGTCCTAGAAGCAGGAGGTTTTCAACGATTATGTTTTCTGATAAACATATTGGGAAGTTTGACATTAGATAATAAGAAAACCTATGTTTATGATTTTCAGTGAATTACCATTTCTTTTCTTTTCTTTTTTTTTTTTTTGAGACAGAGTCTCACCATGTCATCCTCAGTAGAGTGCTGTGTGCATCATAGCTCACAGCAATCTCAAACTCTTGGGCTTAAGTGATTCTCTTGCTTCAGCCTCCCAAGAAGCTGGGTCTAGAGGCGCCTGCCACAACGCCCACTAGTTTTTTAGAGATGGGATCTTGCTCTTGCTCAGGTTGGTCTTGAACTCCTGAGGTTAGGCAGTCCACCCACCTCGGCCTCCCAGAGTAGAACAGGGTATATTTTTAACTGATTGTGATTTAGTGCATCAACAGGCAACAAACTTCAAAACCGATTTGAAGCTGCGATCTCATTATGTCAGTATCATAGTGATTTATAGTCCCGACTCAGTGATCAAAATGCTTTTCAAGACACAGTTTCCAATTTCATAATACAAAGGCAAAGGAAAATACATTTGACCCTTGAATGACACAGGTTTGAACTTTAAATTAGAATTTTCTTCCACCTCTGCTACTCCTGAGACAGCAAGATCAACCTTCCTCTTCCTCAGCCTGCTCAACGTGAAAATGACAAGGACGAAGACCATCGTGATGACCCACTTCCACTTAGTGAAGAGCAAATATATAGTTTTTTCCTTATGACTTCCTTATTAACATTTCCTTTTTTTTCTAGCATACTGTATTGGAAGAATATAGTAAAATACATATAACTAACAAAATATGTGTCAGTCAACTGTTCTGTTATCTCCAAGGCTTTTGGTCAACCATAAGCTATTATCAGTTAATTTTGGAACAGAGTCAAGTTATACCCATATTTTCGATTGTGTGGGGCTTGGCTTCTCTAACTCTAAAGTTATTCAGGGTCAATTGTAGTCTTCTAAAAGTTTGAGTTGGTAAAGTGGTTATTTAGTTACAGACGATTTTAGATATTAAGGTTAGAAAAGAAGAGAATTTTTTTCACATGCAGATTTAGCCATACATGTATGATACGGTTCTCTGGAGTCAATGAAGGCAGATTTGAAGTTAGATGAATTATCCCATGGATTTATATAGTTTATAAGAGGGACTCAATCTTTATAAGTTTAAGTTGTAAAATCATAGCAGCCATTTGACACTAAAATCAGAAATAGATCCAGTAACACTTGGTTTACTTACAGAACTTTAAGACTGTGAAGGCCAGAGAATGCTCCCTTGGGAATGTACGTCAGAGCGTTTCCAGCAAGACGTCTGTGGGTGTCAACGGAAAGGACAGAGTGAGCACAGTTCTCTTCACATGGAATTCGTCTGATTGTCAAATAATGCAGCACAGCTATGTTCAAACCACAAATGTTAAAAGAAACTACAGAGAATTTTGGTTTGTTGTATTTTGCTAAAAATTTCTATACATTTCTAATGAAAATGTTGACAGACGTCCCAAAAAAGAAATGTAATAACTTACCTATTTTACTATAAATCATTTGTTAGCTTACAGTATACACATAACTTCTTTAAACAACTATTGAAGCAAATATAATACCATTAATCACTTGCAAAAAACTGTCATGTCAAAATGCGGCTGTCATATGATTTTTTCAACTATCCTTTACAAGCATGAATAATTTAGATAATCAAATGTAAGAATATGTCTGTTGCAATTATACCACAAAATATCAACTTTCTTATGAAACTTGTTAAATAAGAATGTAGACTATTGCAATCAATTTAGTCTAAAGTGTACTAGAAAAAGATAGAGTAGCTTAGTTAATTTCACAAGTTTTAATTGAATGTAATATCTTAAAAAATTGGAAATAGGGAGGCGCCTGTGGTTCAAAGGAGTAGGGCGCTATCCCCATATGCTGGAGGTGGCAGGTTCAAACCCAGCCCCGGCCTAAAAAACTACAAAAAAAAGTTTAGTATGGAAGACATTACCACAGATCATTTAATGGAAAGTTTTGACGTCATTAACTGTCAAACTTATAAAGTTTCCTTTATAGTACCTTTCTAAGTGAAGACAGAGGAGTTAGAAAATGTGCAAAAAGCCCCACCAGGTGTGTGCGTGGCCCGGCGGAGGCAAAAAGACCCACCGGGTGTGTATGGGCCGGCGGAGGCAGTGCTTTTCTGGCAGCCACATCAAACACATAACCTCAGGTGTCAGAGGGTTCCATAAAACAGAAAACCCAAGGACAACAATTTGACTCAGGTCACATCTCAGAATGGTGAGCAGAACTGGGAATCAAGATACCCTGTCTTTGTTTATGGAGATGGAGGTTCAGGAATAAGGGGGGAGTTGGTTCCTTTGACAGGAGCTTACTCCTGAAGGGCCTAACAGCCTCAGATTTACACTTTTGATATTACCTTCAAAGGAGAGATAATTCAGTTATGGAGACCCACTGATTGCACTGAAATGAGCCATTCATCATGTGTCAAACGCACGCCCATCACCGGTCCACACCACGGATGATGCATCATCAGTGAATATTTATTCCTTTGTTTTAAAATTTCAGAATAATATGAGGGTACGACAAATTAGGTTACAATGTTTGCATAGGTTAGGGAAAGTCCCTTTTGGGGGCCAGGTCATCAGGGAGTCCTGGTTCCCCGAATCCTGTTGGCCTGATTGATTACTCAGCTGAGCTAGAAAACTGAACAGAGGCAGGGGGATAATGGAAAGCAAAAGGGAGTGGAAACTGAAAATAAAACTGACGCTGCACAGGCAGTGTGGACAGAAAGCTAGTGACTTATGCAAGGTTCAGGGTAACAAGGAGGAAGAACAGGGAAAATTCAGAGCACTTCCAAAGAGAACTTGGAAGTGGTGCCTCTCACCCAGGAGAAGAGAGGAGGGAGAGAGGGAAACTCAAAGGCTATGCAGGGTGTAAACACTCTCTCCATCTGAAATTGGTTGCAAGTCTGTCATTGGCTTCTCTGCTCCTCCAAGCAGTATTGCCCTTTCTATTGGTCATTGGTTACCTAGGTTACTTCATATCTACATCGTGCTCTGCTTATGGATTTGATAGTCAACCTTGATGGCATCGGCCTGTCTTACAACACACAAAAGACTGGGAACTCATCGAACCTGGGGATTCTCTTTGTAGCCCTTCTGGGTCCTGAGTAGCGTCTGAAACAATAGGCTGCCCCAGTAGCGCCCAAATAGTCATGTAAGTAGTGACAGCTGACTGGCCCCCAGGATCCATCCTCCTGTTCTTCTAGAATGATTCCCCTCCCCAGAGTTTTAGCAGGGCGCATCCCCACCATTTTCTAGTCTTCTTTGCATCTAAACGTGGCACTTACAACTGAGTTCAACTGTGATCAAAAGTGAAGTGTGAAACGTCTCTGTCACCTTCTTAAAAGGAATTTGCTGGTTCCTCCTTGCTCCTATTTCCCCTTCCTGCCTCAGTGATTCTGAGTGGAGAACATTCCCCAGAAGGCAAAACAAGAACATCTAGAAAGAAGGACGCTGGGCCCCGGGATGACTTCATGGAACTGAGCTGACACACAGCTCTTAAGTCTGTTTTGAATAAATAACTGAATCGGGATGGACCCCTGTGGAATCCTCTGCAAACAAGCCAATGATTGAAGGTTTATTTACTGAGAAGGCCGGTAATCCTTGCCAGAGAGAAAGAGGAGGCTATATCACACCTGCCTACTAGATACTGGCCTAGAGGAATCATGTTTGCAAAGCTGTTCAATCATCAATGTTCACTGTCTTTGCTTTAATTTCTTTTCATCTTCGTGTTGTTAGCTCATAGTTGGTGAAATATCACGGGCATCGCAAATTGCTGTTTTTTGAACAATCACTCTACGTTAAGAAGAAATATGCTTTATCATTATTTCAGGCTATCTTATTTTCTGGGCTTGGCTATGTGTGTATATATTTTTTTGCAGTTTTTCTTTTTGGTCGGGGCTGGGTTTAACCCACCACCTCTGGCATATGGGGCCGGCACCCTACTCCTTTGAGCCACATGCACCGCTCTCATGCATATATTTTTTATTGGGGTGAAATATATAAAAGATAATATTTATCATTTTAGCCATTTGTACATATAGAAATAGTATTACATACATAAATTCACAATGTTGTCTAAAGAACACCAGTGTCTGTCTTCAAATATTTTGATTATTTCCAACAAAAATTCCATACCCAATTAGCAAGATCCCTCCCTTCCCCTGTTCCCAGTCCTTGGTAATTTCAATCATAAATTCAATCTCTATGAATTTGCTTTCCTAGGTATCTCATATCAGTGGAAGCATATAGTATCTTCCTTTGGTGTCTGCCTTATTTCAATAAGCATAATATCTGCAATGTCCAGCCATGTTATGTTACATATCAAAGTTGCATTCCTTTTTGTGGCTGAATAATGTAGCATTTAGGGGTGTCTAGTCTCTTTTCTTCTCTGCTGCACATTGGAACACAATAAATATACGAACATTATTGAAAGCTGATAAGCAAAAAAAAAAAAAAAAGTCCATGTATAATTTTTGCAATATCTGACATCAGAGATAAGCCAGGCAGTCTTCACATAACCCACATGTGGGCCACGGGCCTCAGATTGGACACTCTCATAAGACAGTTGTATTTTCTCATCCTTTGGCTATTGAGAACAGCGGGGCTATGAACATTAGTGTACAAATAAATGTTTGAGTCCCTGCTCTCCATCATTTGGGTATGTATTTAGTAGTGGAATTCTTGGGTCATATGGTGTTTCTATGTTAACTGTTGGAGAAAATGCCAGACAATTTTCCACAGCAATTGCACCTTTATACAGGGTGTCCATAAAGTTCATGTGCAATTTAAAATAGTTGTCTATTGGAAGAAAGAAAATCAAGGCAAAGGGATAGGGAGCAATGGGTGAGGTTTGTGGAGGGTGGGGGGCAGTTCAGGGAAGTCTCTCTGCTGAGGGACGTCAGCGGAGGTCTGGGACATGTAGCTGTCAGTTGAGCAGAAGCCCTGAGGTGGAGCGTGCCTGGTGGGCAGCAAGGAGGTTGGCGTGGCTGGAGTGCAGTGACCAAGGGGAGGGAGGGCGGAGAGGCATCCAGGGCCATAG